CCACAAATATTTACCCAGAGCTTACAGTGCTCAGTGACCTTTACAAAACAGCAACTACAGAGTCACGTGCCAGGGCACAGCGATCCCGGGCAAAACAGATGGAAACCCCTCCCTCCAGAAGATCATCAAGTTGGGGGGCACTGTACAGCGTCTTCAGGCTGGCTGAGTGGTCGCCTTGGGGCAGAGGTCTGAAGGAGCAGGGGCAGTAGACTGGGGAGCATTTGGGTGGAGTGTTCCAGGCAAAACCACATGTCCAAAACTACAGTCAGAATTGAGATGTTAGGGCCAAGAAGGGCCTCAAAATGGAGAAGCAAGGCTGGGGGCGGTGGAGGGCCTGCCCGGGTCACATGAGAGGTGGGGGCAGAACAGGCTGGAGCCTTGCAGGAAGAAGCTGCTTAGACTCGGGAGTGGGGCACAGCTTGTTTCCTGCTTTGGCTGTGAGGCATGAAAGGCAGGCGGGCGGGCTCCCAGCCAGCACGCAGTGACTGTGCAGTTTCCAGACCCAGGCCCTGAGCTAAGCGGCCTCAGGTCTGAGAGTGAAACGGCCTAGGCCTGGGATCTCCGGTGAGTGGGGAACCCAAAAGGACCCTGGAGGCCACAGCTCCAGAACCGGACCGTGGAGGATGGAGGGCAGACGCCCAGCACATTCTCAAGTGGGGGTAGCAACGCTGTCATTGCCCTGCCTTGGTGTAAGACTGAAGCACCACCCTTTCTCACCCGGCTCCTGCTTCCCCTTTCCAGGGGCTTCTGTGGGAAATCCCAGGTCCTTCCTGGGACTGGTCTGTCTATATGTTTGGAAACCACAGTGCTGACCAGACTTTAGAACAAGACTGGGGGGGCCAGGCACCCAGAAGACCAGTGACCCTGATCAGCGATAGCCGTAAGAAAGGGCTGAGACGGGCCGGTCCCGGTGGCTACCCCTGCAATCCTAGCACTTTGGGAAGTCAAGGCAGGCAGATCACTTGAGGCCAGGAGTTTGAGACCAGCCTGGCCAACGTGGTGAAACCCCATCTCTACTGAAACAAAAACAAAAAAAAAAAAGCCAGGCACGGTGGCTCATATCTGTAATCCCAGCACTTTGGGAGGCTGAGGTGGGCAGATCACAAGGTCAAGAGATCAAAACCATACTGGCCAACATGGTAAAACCCTGTCTCTACTAAAAATATGAAAATTAGCCAGGCATGGTGGCTCGTGCCTGTAATCCCAGCTACTCTGGAGGCTGAGGCAGGAGAATCACTTGAGCCAGGGAGTCAGAGGTTGCAGTGAGCCCAGATCTCACCATTGTACTCCTGTCTGGTGACAGAGCGAGACTCCATCTCAAAAACAGAAGAAGAAGAAAAAAAAAAACAATTAGCCGGGTGTGGTATTGTAGCCTGTAGTCCCAGCTACTTGGGTGGGCCTGAACCCGGGAGGCTGAGGTTGCAGTGAGCCAAGATCACACCACTGCACTCCAGCCTGAGCAACAGAGTAAGACTCCATCAAAAAAAAAAAAGAAAGAAAGGGCTTGGAGACAGGGTCCTGACCCCGGAATTCAGATATTGCCAAAGCAGCCCCCTCCGGTTCCTCAGTGTCTGCCCGGGAAGAAGCAGTGGGTGGCCACCCACCCAAGCAGGGCAGGCCCTTCACCGCCCAGCCCCACCAGGAATCCAAGGGCCTCTGTTTACTGCTGTTTTCTGGAACTTGTTTTGATCTACAGAAATCTGCTGACACACCCACCTCCGTGCTCTCGCCCTCCAGCAGGGCAGAGATATTTTTAGACGTATTTGTAGAGGAAGAGAACAGAACCCAGGCCCAATGTGAACACTCCTTATTGTGGGCACAACTTTCGTCCCTTAACGCAGGATAGAGATACCCGTGTGGTTGTCTACCCTCAGCTCATCTCTCCTTAAATACATTCCTCTCCTGAGGAAAACAAGCTGTGTGGAACTTGGCGGCCAGCAGAGCTTCTACATAAGGAGCCTCTGAAACAGAGTCCTTTTGTCCTTGAAAACCCAGGGTGGCAGGGGCAGCTCCAGACACAAGGGCACAAAGAAGCCTTGCTTCCCTTTGTGACGGGGAAGCCTGTGCTTTACAGACTCCTATGCTTTGTATGTCGACAATTCTCCATGCTTAAAATATATATATTTGGCCGGGCGCGGTGGCTCAAGCCTGTAATCCCAGCACTTTGGGAGGCCGAGGCGGGTGGATCACGAGGTCAAGAGATCGAGACCATCCTGGTCAACACGGTGAAACCCCGTCTCTACTAAAAATACAAAA